TTTTTTTTTTTTCTCGAACGAATAGAATAAAGAATGAATTCGATTCCAATTAACACGATTCTCTACTTAAATTTTACTTCACTTCTTTTCGTTATATTATATTCACGCCGCTTTAAATCTGGTATTAATATTCAATTCCATCGAGATTTTGCTATCGTTGATTAATTATATCTGCAAATGTAAATCTCTGCGTTATATTCTACGTAATGTTATTCCTCTCCGAAATGAAAATTGTTACCTGTATAACACAACGTAATGTCCAACGAAATTTCATCTATGCACTACTGGTTAAGCTTTTCGATCTTGGCTCACAGTGTCTCTTGAGTAGAGTGGTGAGCAAAAGTGCCCTCGAGATCTAGAAGCACTTGATTATGCCATTTAGGATAGGATCGGGACATTTTCAATAAATCCACTTGTTGTACGGGCTCTCTTTGATGATCATATTACCGTAAGACGATTTTTATTCAAGTAAAATAACAAGAGATCGAGGAATATCAAGATATACAAAGAAATAACGACGAACTTATTTACTTTTTCGAAAGCAGATAAAGCAGATGTTTTCATCCTCTGTGCCGATTTAATGAGATCCAATTACAATCTTTAATTATCTGTATACGCGAAACTGTATCGAGGATTCAAGTTAATCGGAGGTTTATCGGAGGTGAGGCTTTTATCTGAAGCCACTTACGGGGAATACTGGTAAACGAGAATTTCACAGAACAACTGGATGGAACTGCCGCGAAATAACTCGAGTTGAAATAAATGAAACGTAAGATCCAATGGCTATCCCTAGTTTAAATCGATTCCACTTCCCCTTTTCGTGTAGTGTAGATCAAAGATACTTCTTCCATTGTCTTTTGTCTATTTCGTCAATCAGATCGACTTTAAAGTACGAATTCACCAATTGTTACTCTATTATCTTTATAATACTTTTCTTTTTTTGATCATTGAAGAAATGTAAAATTTTATACAACGTTGATGAATATTGAAGTAAACTGTAATAATTTTAACATTAATAAAAGTACGTACGAAAGCACGTACGTTGGAGAATTGAGATTGCAGAATTTGAGAAGCGGAGGAATTGAACAATGGTATTGGCTATTTCGAGAGGAAGGGAAGCAATCATCACCGTCAAATCCATTTCAACATCATGTTGAACCCAGCCCACGTGTTCCACGTGTGATAGGTGAATCATCGCATGCTTTGGGTGCTTTGGGCGATGGGATAAATGTTTGAATATGATTAGTGGTGCTCGAATACCAGCATGATTTCCACGAGTTTTATCGCACTCGTGCGAATTTCCTATTAACTGTTAAGATAATAATTACACTCCGCGTGAACGTGGTGGAATAATCTAATGCAACGTAAATCGTTGAACTTTTCACTTTTCACGTTCAATTAAATTGTAATATTTTTATAAAAATATCGATATCGTCCAATTTCTTCTTTTTTCTTTTCTTTCCCCTCTTTTGTACTAATTTACTTATTTAATTACGGATTTAATTTATTTATTCCGATAAAATATCGCCGCGCCAATTTCGAAATATTCATTTTGTATATTCAACCGTGTTTTTCCTTTCTCTTTCCCATTGAATAAAAACCTCGTGCACGAACGTAAAACTTCCTTTCTCTTCGTGGCGTTCAATAACGTCAATATTATCTGAAATATTGATCTATCAATAACTGACTCCGCGTCTTGAAATATCTGACGCCACGTCGTAAAACGTGGCGCGCTCGTTGTTGAAGTATGTATATTCCTGGAAAGTGATTGGCGTCGCTGTAAATTTTGCAATCGAGGAGGGGAGGGGAGGGGAAAGGGAGGGAGGTTGCATCGAGAGAGGTTGCCCAAGAGGAACACCATCACTGGCCGGGTTAACCTTCTAAGGTTAATTTTGCAAAGACGATTCGTGATTATTACGTATAATCCCGCTTCTGGCTAATTCGTTCTTCTGACAGAATTTAGTCTGTTGAATTTCCGGTTACCGCCACGAACACTCGGCTGCTTCATAAAATTTGTAAGGCAAGGAAAGTACGAGAGTACACAAGGAATCCTACCGAGTTTCTCTATCCCAAATTAATAGTAATCCATGTGTCCATCCTGTTTTAAAAAACTTAGACGTCAAACTTTTGAGTTTCTTTCATTTCGAATAATACATTATGGATTTATTGGATATTAATGGATAAAAAAGAAAGAAAGAAAGAAAGAAAGAAAGAAACGAATTATTTAAAACTTTAATTTATAATATATCTGGTAAATAAGTGAATTTTGAAAATTTGGAATTGCACGTTTCATGGAATTCGTGAATTAAAAGAGAAAGAATTATATTAGAATGTGAACAGATTTGAGAGTGAATTGACTCTCGAGAATTGCTTTCATTCTCACAGTGTGCTCTGGTAAAAAAGTGTGAATACATTCGAAAGTAAATCTTTTGGGAATATTTTTCACGAGTCGCTCTCATATAACTGTCAGAGAAACGTTACATTATTCTTACAGTAGTTTAATTGATTACATTAATTTCGAATTAATAAGAAAATTAGAAATTTAGAAAACTAGAAATTTCTAAATCTCATCTCCATATTCTATATTTTCTTGAAGAAATATTTCTATCTAATCTAATCTAGCTTATATTAGAAATTCAGATTGCTTGTGAATTAGAATTTCTGCAGTCTTCGTTATTAAAGAAAGCCCGAGGGGGTTGGAATTGAAACCTCGTTAACACTAATGACTTGAATAATCTCTCACGTCATATAACTACGAATCAGTGCATCGAGTAATGGTTGGATTTGCGGTCATCGTTTACAATGCGACTACAATACCTATCAAAATTATATAATGTTAATAATAAAGCAACTACGTTAGTTTATAATTAGAGTTTTCGTTTTAATGTTAAAGGTGTATATTATATTGTAATAATTGTTCAAAATGAAAAATGAGATGCAATCAAACCCACGTTGACGATACTTTCTAGTAATTTCATTTCGAGTTGGTTTTAAAAAGGCCAGACGAGTTTAATGCATCAAATATTTAAATATTTAATTCTTGTATACTTGTAAATATTTGTCGATATTTAT